CTCTTTGCTACCATCTGTATGCAGGCCTTCAGACCAATGCTAAGTCGTATCTGGCAGGCTAGAACTATCCCTTATCTTCTCTAGAGAAACTTCATCCAAGCATTGCCATTCTCCCGATAACTGTCTGCTAGACCCACAGAGTACCCTGCTGGATAAAGACTGCCTGATTATTGTGTTTTTCACCTCCTTGAACTTTGTTCCAAAGTCCTTGCTCAGAAAAGACAGAGATTGATAATGCTGGAATATAAGGAAGTTCTTTTGGCAGTCACAACACTGGATTTCATTGGAACCACCAGTGAGTTGCACAAAGCAGTAGGTGCAGCAGTAAACTTTCTCAAGCAACCAAGGCCAGATGCAACAGTATTCAAACTGCATTCCTAAGACCAACAGCATTGACCTCACTGTTGAACCTTTTAGAGGTATGACTTTTACCTCAAATTATTGGATCAGAAACTTTAAGGTAGAAGGCTCATATTTTACAGTTTCGTATGAAATTGATGCTTTCCTTTTGCATGATGAAATGTGAAAACTACTGACACAGGGCACTGGGTTCAAATCAACATTTGTGTCTTTTGTTCGTCCCTCAATGTGGCACTTTATATAAAAAGATGGCTACCATCAATTCTCCTGTTCAAGCATGCTTGTTAATAATGTAACCTTTGTTTTAAGGGATAATCATGATCCAGTCCATCATCTGAGCCCAAATAATAGGTGGGAATTAATCTCCAATAGCAGAATGCATGCAGACAAGGCTGCAGGAAATAGAAAAAAAACAACAGGCCTTTTCCAGAAGGTTCATGGGCTTTCATAAAAATGAGAACTTTTCTATCTAATTTTGCATACAAATGGACGTAAATAGAAAACACTATCCTGAGTGAGGTAAGCCAGACCCAAAAAGAGGAGCATGGGATGTACTCACTCATATTTAGTTTCTAGCCATAAATAAGGGACATTGAGCCTATAATTCATGATCCTAGAGAAGCTAAATAAGAAGGTGAACCCAAAGTAAAACATATGGGCATCCTCTTGAATAT